TTCACCAAAGCTGCTAATTAGTGTCATATTCGCTTCCCTCCGGCGAAGTCATCATTTGTTTCTCGCCACGGAAACGCTTTCATAGCAATGCAAAATTGTGAAATAGTGACAATTATAAAACGCTCTATTATTCAAAACGAATTACTATTTAGAGTGTTTCCTAATTAAAATGATAAGCATATGATGACAAGTCAAAACGTTATTGTGTTCTTAATGAATAACACAAATACTTATAGTATTCTAAGTTATAAATTTACTACATTTGTGAACAAATTATTTATTGGATGCGATTATGAAGTTTTTCGCACACGGACTGAAGCTGGCTTACATAGATTATACAGGGTGACTGGTGAATTACTATCAATATTTAAGGAGCATACTCGGTACATGATTCTCATTCGAATTATGTAAAAAAAAATAGGTACTTAATTTTTGACCAAATTTCCGTATAAATAAATAAAGTGTGTACACGTTCCAAGTGTTCCTAGTGTGGACGCGTGCGGCGGCGTGCTGATACAACAACACGCCGCCGCGCGCGTATGTGTGAGTGTGTAGTGTAGAGTAATCTGTAGGGTGTTCATACGATGCGTAATTAATTACACAACTTTTGGTTAACTTTACTTAGAAGTTTATTAATATTTATGTTATATTAATTTTTATTTCGTCATATATGATCGTCAAATATCACGTCCTCAAATATCGATAGTAATTCACCAGTCACCCTGTATATGTGAATTGTCTAAACTGGTGTCGTCCCAACTAAAAGCCCCTAGTAACTTGTTCGTTATCTGGGACGAGTCATATGGGTATTACTGTACACCTGCCGTATTCCAGGCCAAATTTTCCCCACCACAATCTTTCTACCCCACCACTTTTACATACCACTATCACTGTATGTATGAGAAGCTAATTCTTAAATATAATATAATATTTTTTAGTATATGGACTTATAAAAATGTAGATGTTGAGAAAACACATTGTACATACAAATAGTTGATGATTCATTATAAGCTACATTAGCCATCTAAATATTCTCCAATGGCATGTATCAGATAAGTAATCGTGTAGAGTACTTTCGAACAATTGAAATCGAAGAGCAAGTTCACTAATGAACTACCAAGACAGTATCAAACTTCAGACATTCTAACTTTAGCATATGAACACCGATACACATTCCCAATAAATAAAATTTATTTAAAATATATTTCTTCATTATTTATTCATTTAAGACTTATAAATTATACATCCTAAATATTCTTTCATACGTGTCTTTAAAAGTCAATTATAAATACTACTTATCTAACCTATTACAATTGGCAAAATTTCTCCATCAAATTGTTGAATCAAATCATTGTACCACATATGCAAATACAACCCTTATGGTCACGCCCTAAGTGAAGAGCTTGCGTAAATATTCAGTGTAGGGGCGCCAAAGTTTGGTCAGACATAACAATGTGCGTTTACTAATTCTAGAATCACAAACACTATGCAATTTGTTGAATAACTTTAAGTACTTAAGTACCAACAACCATATAAATGATGTTTAAAAGTTTTAAACTAGAAAATACTTCGGACTTGGAACTCTTAAGGAGGTTGGAAGTATAAAAATGGAATACTCTCTTCATGGTGTTGCAATTGGATACCATTAAAATGAAATATAAAAGAAAAAAATCATACAAATCTAAAAATAAACAATGCTGCCGTTAAAATTGTTTCCGTAACATGAATACATGAATATTTTGGAAATGAATCGACGCATTATTGATACATTTGTGGCACAAATCAAACGAAAACATTTTGGACGGTTTCATTTAAAATAAATGCAGTTTATCTATAGTTTATGATTGTCAGTAAAATGGAAATGTTACGTGGCTTAACGTCATCCCACAGGTCAGTGTATGCTAAGAATGGATTTGCACGAGCAATACATTTATATTTTACAAGTTAACGAATTAATCAAGTCTGAAACATGTTTAACAAACAAAATTTTTATTTAAAATCATTTATATCAGGGCCATATAGTCCGAAATAAAATGAATCTGATTATAAAAAAAGCTTTATAAAAAAAATATGTGCTTGTACTCTGCAAGCAATTAAAAGTTTTTATGTAAGGGGTATTATCTTCGCCAAAAGATGTTTAATATTTTTTATCCGGGTAACATCGTGAGGTTTATCAGAAATGACCACTAAAATAACTTGAACTCGCTGTTTTATTAACAAATTTTTAACTTTAATACGGTGTTATTATATACATTTGGAATGTCCGATGTAGCTATTAAAGTCGGAAAAGTTTATTGAGATTGTTTAAAATGTTTAGTAATGAATAAATTTATACACAGAGAAATTCCATAGGTTAGAATACAGTCAGTGGTGGCCTAGTACAGTCAGTGGTGGCCTAGTGGTTAAGGGGCCCGCCTCTAGTTGCCGAGGGCGCGGGTTCAAACCTGGCAGGTACCAATGTGATTTTTCGGAGTCATATGTACTTTCTGAGAGTATTTAGACATCACTGACATACGGTGAAGGAAAACATCGTAAGGAAACCAGGACTTATAGTTTCAACTTTCACAATTATATGTTTGAAATCACCAACCCGACTTGAGCAAGCGTTTTGATTAATGCTCAAACCTTCTCCATGTGAGTAAGAGGCCTTTGCTCAGCAGTGGGCGTCTGATAGGCTGATGATGATGAGAATTATATAAAGTCTTTTTTGTTACAAAGCAATAGTCGTTCTTAATGTGTGTCATCATTGAATTTTTTTATTCCATTGCAAGACCTGTAAATGTATGGAATAGGATATTGTTCAAATATCTGTAACGGTTTCTGTTGAAGCGCTTTCAAAATGTAAATTTTTCATGTAGGACATACATTAGACTGATAGACTGATGGAATTTATTTTGTTGGCTTTGACATTATTGTGGTTAGTGGCTTACTTATTAACAACTTTGACGTAAAACACCCGCCAAGAAAATAAATAATATGTTAAATTGTACGATATATAAACTAGTTCACTTCATCTCCTCATCATGCCTTCAAGTTCTTCATGCATAGTATCTGTCATTAAGTAGTAAACGCAGCGCCATCCTATTGAAGCTATATGGCATTGGTGATTACCTAATTTAAGCTAAGAGAAGTTCGTTATCACCGAAGAGCATAGAGCTGCCGTTAACAGTACTGACCTTGCCAAATCTTTCTCAGGGTAATAATATCCAGTGCTTTTTCTGTGAAAATTTAGTTCGATTCTCATTTGTTTAAGAGGCCTCTTATATTCTGATTCAGATGATTATTATGTGGTTGCTGGTCCAAGGTATAAAGCAAATTTACTAAAGTTCTTGAAAGAGATATGAAAGCGACTGATTTTATTTTGCACCCAAAGACTACATTAATTAATATTTAGCAGAATTGTGGCTCTGCAAATATAAAGAAAGCTTTCAGTAAGTTATAAAATGTCAGGTTATGTCTATCAGAACAATTGTTTATGAAATATTTTTAATATTTGATTGGGTCCTTTAATGGTAAATCAGTCCGTGGTGTTTGGGCGAAGCATAATATGTATATTCACCAGATAAAGAGTTAAAGTTATTGAAAAAGGCTTTATTAAACAACTAAACATCGTTGATTTAGAACACATTTTTAATTTTACATGAATCTTTGAAGGTATCATTTCTTTTTATTAAATGTTCGTCTTTAAAGAAACATTTTCCTATTATAAAAATACAATTAATTTTAATACATTAAACTTATGATATGATCGGTGAGATTTCTTATCGTGAGAAATTAATTTTGATTTGATAATACTTTAAAGTAATTTTAAATTAAAAGTTACAGTACTCGTGTCATTATTGTGTTTTCGTTCATTAAAGCTAACTTAAAGGTAAAAATTCTATGTTTTATAAGGATACTTAAACAGTAGCTAATGCTACTGACAATAACTGAAAGTTTCACTTTTTTAAATAAGTAATAATTATGGCGTCTTAGCAGATAAGCACTAAAAGGTATCACTATCTTGGCGAATGGTACTCGGTATTATTTCAATTCATAGTCATTTTATATCTTTATTCTAGAAGTTTGATATAAGAAATAAAATATAAAGTAAAAAGTAAGCGTCATTAATTTGTTGAGTAGGAAACCTAAAAAAAATATATTTATTTAGAAAAAGAGTTCTGGATAGAGAGAGAAAGAGAGAGAGAGAGAGTATGAGACTATAATTTGTTTCATTAAGATCAATAAGTATACGACAAAACTAAATTAAGACAAGTAAAATTTTAATTATATTTGGGTATTATACTTGTATTACGATAAGCAACCGGTTGATACTCTTCGTTAAAACTCAAGTGTAGTAATAATGAATTATGAAAATGCATGTTACCATTACTCAAACTTCATGTCTACATTTTTATATTTAAATAAGTATATTTAAAAAATAGTCGTATGATAGAAAATGAAACTAAGCCCATTTCTTTTGAAAAACATACTTTTCAGTGTCATCGTCTTTATTTTGATATTCTGTTGTAAAATATCGAAAGCGAATATTGAATTTCATATGACAAAGAAATCACATTGTCTGAAAATTTCCATGCAAATGGAATATATCCCGAAAGATCGGAGTTTTACAGTTTTTCGGATTACGTTTTGAAATTTATCGCATCAATTTCATCTTATACGAAATATGACAAAAACTATATTGTTTTGTTGCTCTTAATTATAAATGTAGACGAATAAATTGTAGATTTTGTTAATTATATTCGGTAACAAAAGATCTAGATGAGTAACACAATCTAATCATTCTTACTTGTTAAATCCTATAAAATATTCTAATTTTAATAATTGTAAACAAAAGTAAATATGTAACTTTGGAAGATTTATTGAAATACGCTATCAAAGAAACAAGAATACTTTTTGAGTGGATCAGACAACGGTTTAAATTGGGAATAATGTTCTTAAGTCTATAAGGCCCAATAATAAAACCACTCGGCTATGGACTAAAAATACATATGTTTAAAATGTCCGCTGAAAGGATCGCTGTCGTATTTGATGTTGGATCTCAATCAACGAAAGCTGGATTCGCTGGAGAATCATCGCCAAGATCTGTTATTAACACTGTAGTAGGAAGGTGAGTGATGTGGAAAACCAATAGAACGCAATAAGTCTCCACACTTTTTTCGATTATGAAAATAAATGTCCTCAATTACACAGTATCAGTTTGCTTTTATTATTTTCGGTTACCTTAATACATGTAAAAGTGGTTAGTTTTCGTGATTTTGCAGATTTCGCCATGAAGGTTTATTGGACGGACTTCCAGACATATTTTTCGGTAATGAAGCTGTCAAGAAGAGAGGGTTTTGTGTATCGAAGTGGCCGGTAAAAGATGGAATGATAGATGACTGGAGTGAAATGGAAAAATTTTGGCATCATGTCTTTTATAAAGAACTTCACGTTGCTCCCGAGGAGGCTCAACTTTTAATGTCTATTCATCCACTTACGCCACATAGAGACAAGTAATTTCCAATAATTTATAGGTTCTATTTGTTTATTTAAGATTTATCAGAAACATTATGTATTGTACAAATACATAATGCTAAAGAATAATAAATAGCTCTAACATAATATTTATTAATGGAGCAAATATTACAGGGAAAAAATGGCCGAGATACTTTTCGAGACTCTTTCTATCCATGGTCTATACTTGGCCATATCATCTGCACTAGTATTGCATGCAAATGGAAAAACGTCAGGAGTGGTCTGGGAGAATGGGCATTCATGTTCTTATGTATCACCTGTTTTTGAGGGATTTCCCCTTAAACATGCCACAATAGAATCAGAAATTAATGGGAGATCACTGACAAAGAGACTCCAAAAACTGTTAAACGAGATCGGCTATTCTTTCACTACAAGTGTGGAAATAGACATACTGGAAAATATAAAGGTTTCATAACTGCTATCTTATGTAATGATTAATCATTATCCATTGCTATTATTTCATATTAATTACAATAGCTCTAAGACACTGTGTAAAGTAAAACATGTTTTTTTTTACCATTGAAAGTAAAATTCTTAGTAATATCGTAATAATTTTGACATAAATATTTTTTTCACTCATTTAAGGCAAAGCTATGTTATGTGGCTATGGACTATGAAAATGAAGTACAGTCTGTCAATCGTTTAAAAGATAGCGTCCGTTATGAATTGCCCGATGGGCAGCATGTTTTGCTTTGCGAGGAGAGGTTCAAGTGTCCGGAAATCCTATTTCAACCAAAAATGGACGGGATGAATTCCTTTAATATAGTGGATAATATTTGTTCCAGTATATCCAAATGCGATGTGGAATATAAAACTTTATTTTTCGATAACATAGTACTTTCTGGCGGCTCAAGCTTATTCAGAGGGCTTTCCGAGCGTTTGAGTGTTGAACTATCCAGGCGAGTATCAGATATGCCTGGCATAAACGCAAATGTTAGCTCAATTCCATCAAGACATTATTCCTCATGGTTAGGTGGATCTATATTAGCGTCACTGAAATCTTCTCAAGGTTTTTGGATGACTAAACAGGAATATGAAGACAACGGACCCGAAAGAGTACATTATAAATTTTTTTAAATTAATTTTAAGGAAATCAAATGACATATTGTGTGTTGTTAAATAAATAATACTTTCAAGTTCATTTCTTTGGTTTAAAACATTTAAGATGTAATTGGTGTGGTCTTCCGTTTTTTTAACTAGTGTAAGAAGTATTGGACCAAACTAAAAAGTAGATATATTCTATTTATAAATAACATCTAAGGGCTTGAAAATAATATGAGAATTATGACAAATATTTCCACATAAAAAAATAGCGAAATTAATGTCATGCAGTTCCGTTAAAATAAGTAAGAACGAAGATTTATTCCATTTCATTTCATAATTGAATATTCTAATCCATTAAAAAAAACAGATATTTCTATAGAAGAAATTCTTTTTTTACATCAAAATATTTTGATTCATGATACGAAATTGATCTTATTAAAAGAAATGGAAACAAATTCATTTGTTTTTGCTCCCCACTGATAATTTGATAGACACGATAATCTAATTTCAGTGATATATAATACTACAAAGGAAAAATATTATCTAAAGCAGGCGACATTTTCTGATGGTTCGGGGACTGAAAATCAATCAGTATATCCCTTTATGCTGTCATCAGAGATTAGTCGAATCTTTCTGTTCTTCAATCTACTTTGCTATTTGTTGTTTGTGAATATCTTGTGATTTTTTAAATAAAATAAAGAAAGTTTATAAAAATCTTTAATATTTTATGCTACGCACAATATGAATGTAGACATGTGAGACAGGTCAAAACGTATAAAGTAGCCCATTGATGCTGATTTTCGGTTAAGAATGTGTTTTTAATTTTTTCTTATTAATTAGGCAACAATTAGTAATTTTGATGTAATGTGATTTATTACTAATCTCAAAATTCTTTACAAGTTCTTAAATGTATTTAATGTAAAGAATGCGTATTCTTGAAATTATCTCAAATATGCCATTTCGTTTTTTTTTTGGGTCAACAAATAGAGGGATATTTTATTTCAAACCGATAATTACGATAATCTAATCGAAACTTTGTCAACCTTTTGTACCTTTCTCTACAAATGTTTGAAACCATACATGATGTGTTTTTTATAAAATAAGGATTAGAATCAAAAAATCGGTTCTCTTCGAAATGACTTATATAATTTATTTGTGTGAATTTACGAATATTTTTTAAAGACAATGATTTTTAACTATCAAATTACTTAAAATATATAATTATATTTTCTTAAAATGATTAAATATAAATTAATAAAGTTGTATGAAAACGTTAAAGAAAAAGTTTCCATTCGACAAGAAAACTTAAAAACCAATTAATGTTACCCTCAGTTATGGTTAGATAACAGTCATGAAACAAGGGCTTAGTTTAAATAAATAACAAGTAGCGTGGGACGAACGATCGGAAATCTATATTGGGTTAGCACTTAGCAACGTTAAATGACATTGGTACACGATTGTACACTATGGAGGTTAAGAAAAATATACCGAATATATAAGTGTATTGTATATTTATGTTTAAATATATAATTATATAGGGTGGCAATCGGAAGTTCGAGGAAAATTACGAAACATACTTATATGTATATTAAAATACGAATAATATGTTAAAACTTATAACCTATACCTAAAACTACATGATTGCCCCGGTGTTAGGATGACAATAACATTCTATTGCTTGTAGGTGTAAGGAATCTTCTTGTTCACATGGCTTGGTGTTCGTTCCGCGGAGTCAGCGGCGTCACTCGATATACCTACATATGATATTTTTACGAAACAAAGGTGTCGTCCCGGCGATGTTCATTTTTTTTCATATGTAGCGGGACGTAACAATATGTTAGGTATTTAAGTATATCAACATTATCTTTTACGAACACAATTTAAATCTCCGAACCAAACATTTTAAGTGTAAGAAACTAAATGTTTTGAAAGTGATTTTTTTGCGAGGTTTATTTCTGTTTGTCTATACATCAAGACTGTAATGGAATATTGATTACATCAATTTAGTAGTAATGATTGCTATCAACGGCAAAGATCTCGGAGGTAGGAAATTACAACGTTGTTTTACTTGTGTTAAGTAATAAAAAAAAATGATTTTCTTTAGTATATTTATCGTGTTTAAATTATCTATTTTTGGTTATATTATAATAATATTCACTATGTTATAGACAGGTTTATAAATAGGATTCAAAGTCACTGAAGTTCAGATACTTTCACCTTGAATGTCTTGACCGAAGAGATATTTTTGTTATGACTTTGTGTGTCCCTTTTGATTTTTATATTTCTTATAATTAACAATTTGATTCAAGACGACATTTGAAGCGTATATAATTCACTAATTATATATATATAACCTCCCTAGAAATTTAGCCGCCTTAATTGTATCTCTATGTATGTTTTAAACTTTTAAAATTTGCTTATCATCTATTAATTACTTTTTGATTATGATGATAAATTAATTATCCAACTGTGGCATTACTGTTACATTAATTTTTATAATATTTTTTCATATCATGCTTTTGATTATTGACTGATATTGACAATTATATAGTTATTCAGATTAATTTCAAGTGTATTGTGAAATTTTGAGTCTACAAAGTTTAAATTAAGTTTATGTTCTAGAAATATGTACTAATTGTATTTAAATTTTACAGTAAAACTCTTTAAATGTTAATATTAAATTTATTTAATAACAGCGTTATTAAATCATATTTTCAGTGGAAAATTAAGCAAGCCGAGCTCGTACCAAATTATTTTAATGGGCTCTTGATCTGCTTGGGTTATTAAGAATCTTTGTTGCCACTGTGCTTTAACCGTAAGAATTTTTTGCCAACGAAATAATCACTTACTGTTCTGTTTATTGTTTCATCTAGTATAGGTTACGTCTATTATTCCTATTTAGATATTTTAAAGATTATTAGATTACATTTAGAAAACACACGTATATTTTTTCTCTAGTCTTATAGCGTCATAACAGTCCTAAGAGTAAAGACCGGTTGGGGACAAATTTTTTATTTTTTTAAGTATGTGTAATTCCTATTTTATTTAAAGCGTGACACGTTACTCAATACCAGAATTGTGACGTCTTTGACGTCATTCTCTGTGTTTATTTTGATTATTCAAAATTATCCTTAATTGTCATATAATCAGTTATTATCGGGATCTTTCTCATTATATATAATCTTGTACAATTCGTATGTGATGTTATAAATAAAACGAAAGACTTAAGAACAGTTATTTCATTTAATTCACTTTTGTAGAAAAAAATAAGTGAAGAAATGGAAATAAAACAGTTTTAACGTTTAGTCTCGGTTCAGTTTCTCGGAAATTTTATGTAATTTCTTAGAACCCTCACAGTCTGAATAGATTTTATTATTATTCCTACTTTGTATTTCTCTTTCCCTGATGTTTTTGTATACTTAGCTTTGCCACAAGCACCCTCATACGGCTATGCTTGTTATCCTACAGTTGTTTTTTCAAATTGATATTTATTTTCCAAATATTAATATTATTATGATTATAAATTGATAATAAATTCGCTCTGTAATAGAAAATTTACTTGAAAATACATATTTATTGGTTTTAAACGCAAATCAACGTCACACTCGTTTGCAAACATATACTAATCTATATGTTTTTATGATTATATATTTATTTTATATTAATATTAACATATATATTTTGGATTCTGATGTATTAATAGTAGTTATAGAATTCGTGTTGGCTATCCAGATATATGAAACAATGACTTGTGGCTGAAGATAACACTAGTTTACAAAATTTAACTTTTTGTTTGTTGCCGCAAATTTTATGGTTGATATTGTTCACTGATGATTTGTTTATGTCAAATATACCTTCAAAATTTCTTTAGCAGCTCTAGTTATTTTGTTTCTGGTTTTTGTCATTTAAGCTTATAAATTAATTGATAACAGTCGTATTTTAGTGTTTTAAGATAAATATCAAACGTTTTTAGTCATGAGCAGTTCAATGAGATGTTGTTTGAGCAATCCAGATCATTTTTGATACATTTGCGGAGAATATATCTTTAAATCCTGTAGAAAAGTTATATCACCGTTGGTGAAAAATACCTATTTTGAGTATTTTGGGATGCTCTTGGATAAAAATGAGAAGTCTTGGGCGCCAAATTGTGTTTGTAAATCGTGTGTGCTATGTTTAAGATTATTGAAAAGTAGTAAAAGAACTACCTTTAAATTTAGAACACCGACTTTTTGGCGAGAACCACAAAATCATCTCGAAGACTGTTATTTTTGTAGAGTGGACTTAAACGGTTTAAACACTAAAAATCGGGCTAAATGGCTGTACCCCAGTACTAGTTGTGTTCAACGTCGAGTTAAGAAGCGTTTACCTATCTGTTCAGTGCCTACAAATGTATCAGAACCTTTAGAACAAGACATGAATAGACCAAGAACATCACAAAATGATGCTGATTTTGAAGATATGTCCAAAGAGTCAAAATGCTTTACTAAAAATGAGTTAGATGATCTTGTTAGAGATTTATATCTTTCAAAACAAGCTTCATAATTGCTAGCATCAAGGCTCAAAGAAAAAAAATTGCTAAAATAAGTTTTTATCGTACAAGAGAGATAGAATTACGATCTTATTTTTCCGAAGGAGACGGATTTTACCTTTTGTTCAAAAACTTGTTGATAAAAATGGGCTTGAAACAATACTAACCAAACGACTGGCGTTTATTCATTGACAGCTACGAGTATGAGTGAAGAGCAGGGGGAGCGTATGCCTCAAGACTTTGCATCAAGGAAGAGCGCTATCAGGGTTTCTGGGATACGAATACGATGTCTGACTACATTTGCTGGTCTCTGATACGTCATTTTCCAAAGTCTACACATCAGAGAAGAGCTTTAAAACGGAGTTTTTTAGAACTTAACTATTAAATATGTTTCTTTTAGTAGTTTTTCTTAGTAATTACGTGTTTTTTCTGTTTTATTCCTGTATAGCTGAAACTCAAAAACTAGAGCTGATAAAAATATTCTAATTACATTTTTGGAAATGGC